AACATTTAACAGCCTGAATGTCCGAGAAATTTTCATAGAAAATATTCGTCCTCCGACGTACATAATCAACCAACCGAGAGTGCAATTGGAAACGATGTAACTTTGTTGTGGGGAGGTTCAATTCCTGCATGCGATGACGAATATGCCTTATTATCTCATCCTTTAGCTTTTGAATTGTTGTTGGCTTGTTGGCATAGACCTTACTTTTGAGATGACCCCAAAGGAAGAAATCTAAAGGCGTCAAGTTGCACGATCGTGGTGGCCAATTGACTTCACTGTTTCGAGAGATGATGCGACCTGGGAACTTTCTGTTTGAACGTCCATTTTCGTAATAGGCTTCGATAACTTTAACACGTTGTTTGATTGTTAATCTTTCCATGGTTGAAATTGCCAAAGACTTAAGTTGTTAAATCTGAAAAAGAAAAAATCATTAGACGCTTAAACTTAATTCACATTTAAAGTTGATCCAAGTTATTGGAACACCCTTCATATATTTATATACCATTATTTTTATGGTGTGGGTACGTTTAAACCTAATCCTTAAGTTAACAGTAATACATTCTTGTATGTGTATATTTGTGGGCGGGAATGTGCGTGGGTATTTGTGACAGATTTTCAGTTCGTTATTAATCAGTTGCAAACATAAGTTGGACTGATCAATAAATGTATTGATTATTGGTATTTTTATATCCTTTGCTTTTCTCTTACGTACAGATATTTATCAAGAGAATTACATTCACAAACTCAGGTGTATATATTAGACTGCTGCAAAGGTTTCTAGTATTTTTAAAACAAGAATCCTTTGTTCATACAAGTTTATCGAACCAATATTCAGTTATCAAATATCATTTCAATTCGATATTCAAATAAGTCTTTTATTGACTTGCGCAGTAACGATTTGTCCAAGTTTAAGAATGTTGTAATAAAGAATTTCTTTTGCGTATCATCAAATACAGGGAAGCGACTCATATTATCAAGTATAGAGAAACACTCACGCGCACACACGTGGCAGAATCAATTTGGATTGAGATGTTAAGGCTGCCCTGGATTGAAACACGATGTCTTTCATTTGGAGTTCTAATAAAAAATCCATTTTTAATCGTCAGCGACTATCTTTTTTCGTTAGATATGACGACTGCCTGCTAATATTTATGCAAAAAGGGTTTGATTAAAAAAATGTCTGTCGGTTTAATATCTATAGATAAAATGAAAAATTAATACAGACAGACCTTGTCAGTTCTTTTTAATCAAACTTGAATATATATACATACATACACACACAAACACACACACACACACACACATATCTATAAATATAAAAGTGAACATTGAAGTCAACACTTAGAGGCGACAGGCTGTTTTATGCTAGACGCAATCGTCAGGTGGCCTGACGATTGCGTCTAGCATGAAAAATGTCACCTTCTATAATCACTACTTTACTTATTATCTCTTTATCTCTGATATTGAATACGCATCCCATAAATAAAGCACACCTTAAGACTATATTTCTTCATATATATATATATATATATATATATATATATATATATGAAAAAATATAGTTTTAAGGTATGCTATATTTATGGGATAAAATGATCAATATCAAAGATAGATCGTATGTAAATATAAAAGTGAACATTGAAGTCAACACTCAGAGGTTACAGATTGTTTTCATGCTAAACGCAATAATCATACCACATGCAATGTGTTTTTTCTCGATTATTTATATACACGGGTCAGTTGTGCATTGTGGGTAGTCGATTCTAACAGTTATTTTGGCGGGAGTGGTTTGTTAATTTGTTTATTTATTTGGATTAATTTACTTGTTTTTTTCTTTTATTTATTTTTATTTATTCTTTCTCAGTTTTCGATTTTTAAGTAACGTGGTAAACATTTTTGAGATGAGTTGTAATAGTTTATTTAGTAGAATAAACGATCAGAACTCATCTAAAAAATATGGTAGTCCAGTGTTTTCTCCATTCTATTGAGGTTTCTTATTCTAGACTCAATGAATTATTAAGTGAAATTAATGAAATCTCTAACCTTTGTCTATATAAGTCTATGCTTGATCCAGGTTTAATGCTCTGGATGGAAAGACGTTGCTCTTTGGTCCGGTTCTAGTGGGTTATGTATGCTTGGATGAGTTTCAACTCCGGAATTAGGAGTTAGGAGTAGCTGGCCCAGTGGTATGATACACACACACACACACACACACACACACATATATATATATATATATATATGTGTGTGTGTGTGTGTGTGTGTGTGTACATATATATATATATGTATATAAGCATGCAACCTTTAAATATTTAAATATGTATATATATATATATATATATAAAAACACATGTATATATATATGTGTGTGTATATATATATATATATATATATATATATATATATATATATATAAGCATGCAACCTCCGCCGCACGTACTCCACACACTAAAACTGCTATGTAGAAGCCACACAAAACACACACACACACACACACACACACACACACACACATATATATGTATGTGTGTGTGTCTGAATATATATATATATTTATATATATATATATATATATAAATAAGCATGCAAGCTGCGCCGCACAGCTAAACTGCTATGTAGAAGCCACACAAAAAAAAAACATCCTTGATAATGGTTTCATGACTAGTCGAAAGCGCTAGGAAGAATTATGACTAAAGGACAATTCCTATTTTCTTTAACCTCTGAAAAACGGGAAAATGTTAGAATGCTGGAAAAACTCAGTAAAAGAATAATTAAATCTTCCTTTTCGGCCGTTTTAAATGAAAGATGCTTGAAGGAAAGGTTGCTACCCAAATACACATTAATTACTGATTACAGACCATAAGTGATGGTCCTGTTCGTATTCTTGGAGTGTGGTTCGGGCCTGATTTTCGGCTGGATAAAAACTGTTCGGAAGTACAGGCAAAGATAGGAGCGGCGATCCGGACTTGGCTCTGAAGGCGTTTGTCCTTGTAAGTTAGGGCTGAGGTGTGCTCCGTATACATCTTTCATCCTTCATCGTTTGTCTGTACTCTTTTCATATATAGATTGCATCCAGCATGAAACAGCCTGCCGCCTCTGAGTGTTGACTTCAGTGTTCACTTTTATATTTATATTTACATACGCTCTATCTCTGATATTGAGCACTTTATCCCATAAATATAGCACACCTTAAAACTATATTTCTTCATATATATATATATATATATATAATTTGAAATTGGCTATGTATATGACGAATATGATCAATGTCGGTGGGGGGATGTCTGCAGATGTAAAGAGTGTCGAGACAGAAATCAAAAATGCATGGTGACTGTCCGTTTTGCACCGTAAGCAATCATCCGACCACTATAAAACCCGTGCACGCTTAAAAGTTATTGACCCACAGTAGGGGTCCTCTTTTTTTGTTTTTAAATCATTTCACTCCAAACAAGGCGGGAATATCATTAGTATGCAGGGGGGGGGGTACAGTGATTGAAAATGAGAGAAAAGACTGAGTATAGGGAGGATCGAGGAAATGACAAAAGAGGAACGAGATTGAAGAAGATAGAAATTGGTGATTGAAGTTGCATTTAAATTTTCGAAGATAGTAGTTATCAGGGAAGCAAGTACACAGGTGAGAGTTCCACAGGCGGGAAGTGCGAGAAAAGAAACTATTGCAGTAAAAGTGACTGTTTCTATTTCAACAGTAAACGGGTGGGACCTAGATGCAAATCTAGTCACGCGGTTAAATTCATGTAGTCGGTGTATCAGGGGGAAAAAACTATTCAGAACAGTTGCCATGGAAATATTTGTAGAAAAAAACAGAGAAAACCACGTCACGTCTGTGAGAAAATGACTGAAGTCAAAATACCAAGCCACGATCGATTACATTAGAGATCTTTCTTTGGATTCTGACAAGAACATCGAGATGAATAGCAGAAGCACCAGACCAAATGTGAAAGATGGACTGCAACGAGAAAAAATTTCTGGCAGGACATAGTGACCAATTTTCTTTGCAGTAGATGCAGTTATTGATTCGATTAAGTCGCTCCATAAATCAATTGAAAACGTGAAGCCAAGGAGGTGCAGTGTGTTGCTCTCCAGGAGTCTAGCATCAGCCATGCTGATGGCAGGCAGAAAAGATTCCCTATGGTGGCTAAATGAAAGCAGTTTTGTTTTGGAGGCTTTTAAAATTTACAATTTTTCTGTTCCAATTAACCACTGAAGTGTAGATGTGAGAACAAGTACCTTCTCTGCTACCTACACCTCTGACTAAATAAAGTTGGATTCATCCATATTTGTAGGTTTAGTATTCAACCCAACGTTTAACTTTGCGGCTGAGGATCGTTCAAATGTGCAACATATTTGTGCATATATTTTCTCCATATTAATTTATTACATCACAGATACTTCTTTGGATTTTGTCTAGAACGTCACAATGAATAGCAGGAACACCAGACCGGATATGGCAGCAGTATTCAATGTACAAGATGGACTCCGACGAGTAAAATTTTTTGCCACGACACAATGTCACAATTTTCCTTGCAGTAGATGCAGCTATTGATTCGATTAGGTCGCTCCACTTCAAGTCAGTTGAAAACATGAGGCTAAGTAGGCACAATGTGTTGCCTTCCAGGAGTCTAGCATCAACCATGCTGATGGTAGACAGAGAACTTTCTCTATGGTGGTTAAATGAGAGCAGTTTTGTTTCGGGGTCCTCTGCAAACAAAACAAAAAAATCTGAATTGTTTTAAATGTTTAAAAGAAACAGATTGTAGGGTGAGCCGACAACTTTTCAGCACTCCTTCACACACACAGACGCACACACACAGACGTGCACACACACACACACACAGCATATTGACATTAAAAATTCCTATCCATGAATTACCGTTTCATTTCTTTGCGCATGCCTATTGCCTGCAATGTTGTGAATAGAAGGTGAAATATACGATGACATTGTGTTTTCAGATGGAATTTTCCCAGAAAGCTGGTAAAATCTATTCGTATTGCACGTTAATGCAGAGGCACCCTTGGTTAATTTTAACCACAATTCGCCCAAGAAAGAAACATAAACTCTATGGATATGATCTGATAAAAACATTGTTGTTGGCACAGCTGTTGTTTTCTCAACAGCATGTGTTTCACATAGTATATCGTTTTGTATTGGAAGTTCAATAGGAACAAATTTTAATCATTGGCCAGAATAATATATACATACATATATATATATATATATATATATATATATATATATATATGTGTGTGTGTGTGTGTGTGTGTGTGTGTGTGTGTGTGTGTGTGTGTTTATTTAAAAAGAATGAACCCATTTCATGGCGCTATATTTTAATAAGGAAAAGCAATAGAAAATTCCAGCCAAGTTACAAGTATTCTACTCACAATCAACTTTTATTTCCTGTCCTAAAGGTGTTTAATGTGGCCATCACCTGCAGCACGGGCAACATCAATGCTATAAGAGAATTCCTCCCAGACGCGTATCAGCCTTTCACGATCCACTGAGTTGATCGCTGTTGTTATCCGCTGTTTAAGGTCATCGAGGTTAGCGGTAAGCGGTGGAACATAAACGCGATCTTTTACATATAGCCACAAGAAAAAATCGCACACGGTGAGGCCTGGGGATCTCGTAGGCCAAGCACAAAGAGCAAGGTCTTGGTAAGTGCCTGAACGAGGCGTAGTCTGTAAGGTTTCAAATATAGATGTCTTCTTAGCACACGCCAGATAGTGGATTGAGATGTCGCAAGCTCACGGCTAGCTTTGTGGACTTCTGTGGACTCCCCTCAAACGTAGCACGGATTCTCGCCACTTGTTCCTTCAAAACTCGTGGTCGTCCTAGACTTTTTTTTTCATATACAGACATCAACTCTCTTGAAACTGTTTAAATCACCGTCGAATGTTATTAAGAATTGGCGGATTAATGTCGAATTATCTTCGAAAAGGACACCGCACCGTGACAACCGGATTTGTTTTCGCGAATTCGAGAACGCAGAACGCCTTTTGCTGAGGACCCGCCATTACGAAGGGAAATTAACATCCGAACGTTGCCGGAGATACGACGTGACTACAGAATCCTTGTGACATCCATTCAAAACTTCCTCTTTCAAATGGTCATTGACTCATTCCATGACGATGCTTGAGAACTGAAGCAATAAGTCATGAAATTGGTTCATTCATTTTGAATAACCCTGCATATATATATATATAAACAGTGGAACCTCAGTTCACGAATTTAAATCGTTCCTGGTGGCCGCTCGTAACCCGAAATGTTCGTAAACCGAAACTCTTTTTCTAATAGCAATCAATGTAGAGAAAAAAATGTCGCAGTATATTAAAATTGGAAAAGAAACGCACGGCACAATACACGAATGTATACAACATGGCGGTTGACTCGGAAATTATTCCGTTCGGGTTAACTCGGTTCGGCAATGTTGTTCAAGAATCGAAATTTTGTTCGATAACCGATTGTTCGACATGTGAGACGTTCGAGAACCGAGGTTGCACTGTACACACACACACACACACACACACACACACACACACACACAGATAGATAGATAGATAGATAGATAGATAGATAGATAGATAGATATGTAGGTGCCACGAAAGATTCGCTAAAAGTGCGCATGCACGAAAAATGCCCCAAACTTAATAAAAACAAAGTTTTATCGTCAAAATGTATGTTATTATTACGAGGAAAGACCAAGGGATTTTTTTCATCATTAAATTATATTTTTTTAATCCTTTTAGAACTTTTAAAATTTTGGTTAACAATTTTGTTTCTCTTGCAGCAGTGGGTGACCCTAAACGCAAAAAATTAAATACTTGTCGGATTTTAATTAAAACTTCAGGAATTATTCACAAATGAATTAAATTATCTTAGAATTTTTTTCTTTTTTAGAAAACCTTGATAAAAATATTTTTTAAGTCTTTACCCCACCACCACACACGCACTTATTATTTTATAAAATATAATTTATAATTTAATTTATAATGTTTATATTATAAGCATATGTCCTTGGATGATTTAAATCATCAATTGTTTTTTTTATAAAAAAAAAATGTGACGCGAAATCTACTCTGAATCAAAAAATAAATGCAATAAAATTAAATGCAATAAAATATTTTTTTATTAGTAAAGCTTTTAATTGCTTTTATGAATAAAATATATCATGTATACTATTGTCTTAAGAAAAATGTTTGTTCGAAGAATAATGAATTTTTATAATAATTGTTTTCATTTTAAATTTAATTAGAGTAATTTATAAAGTTTTAAATCTTTTACAATTTTGATTTAGTTTGTACCGGTTAGGTGATATTGCTATTAAGTAAAAACTATATTTACTAATCAGAAATCGAAAAGCTTACTACAATTCAGCAATCCCCAATATTTTTTAATAGATTTCACAACATGCAAGGCAGTAAAGCCACTAAGACACAGGGGGTTACTGGGTGTGGAAGCATTAGGAACAAAAACATTACCAATGATTGGTAACAAAAAGAGTAACCAGTAGGACAGAAGATAGCGATTGACACTGTATTTACATTTTTGCAGATTAAGTTGGCTGGAAAGTATGGAGCTGGGAAGGAGTTCCACAAGCAAGAAGTGCGAGAAAAGAAACTGTTAGCATAGAATTTACTGTTACATCTAGTCATCTCAGCTGTAAATTGATAAGCTCTCGACTCCAGTTTAGTACTGCGCTTAAATCCATAAAAGTCTGGGTACCATAGCGAAGAGCTCATTCAAATAATTACCGTCAAATGGACAGGGATGTAACCTTACTGCGGTAGGAAAGTGACTGAAGCCGAGCCGCCTGATCAGGACCAATAATATTGCTGATTCTTCTTTGGATTTTATCAAGGAGCTCAAGGTAAATAGGGGTACCGGACCATATGTGGCAGCAATATTCTAAGCATGGGCGAATGGTAGACTTAAAGATAAGTATGATAGATTCTAGAGAGAATGTTATAGTGGAACACACCTATTCTATAGTTAATGGACTCTCCCACCTATAATAAGTAGGAGTAGTAGGAGTCGCTAAGTCACTGAGTAAGTCGCTCAGTCAGTCGATGCCGGACGACCGTTAGTCGGATACTAAAAGTATCAGCGACCACAACTAGATTTCTCTGCGTCATTACCTATTATATCAAGTTCCTAACGTTTTGTACGTCGAACCTATTTTAGGACCGACTTAGTACAAATACAAGCCTCCACTGTGAAACCACTCCATAACAGAGAAAAAAATTGTCTCGCACGACACAGTGAATTTTAATTTGTGTGTATAAACGTACTGATTTTAGGGAATATGGACGTCCATAAACGGCATTATCAGAAAATAAGAGTTATAATTATAGCCAAAGTACCTAAAATTCAATAAAATATTAGATTGCCTAGAATATTTCCCTAAAATTTTTGAGCATAGAGGATAGTTAAAATGAGGGTTTGGAAAATTTAACACTCACAAGACATATTGAAAACAAGAGGGAGAGGGGAAAACAGCGCAAGTGAATTTACTTCTGAGCATTAATCAGGAGGGATATAACGGGCACAAGGCCGAGTTTAACTTGGGTCATCCAAGCCCGCAGGCTCGGCCAAAAAATTCCCGTAGAACCCGCATAAACGGGTTCGGGTCTGTCTACCTCCCTGGACGAAACGCTGCCCTTCGGCACAGCTTCGTCTGGGTTCCTCTCTGCCAAAAGTGGAACAGTCTATATCACCGTTCCTCATTAACCCTCCGTTAGTGTTGTGGGACATTCTCACATCATTAGTAATGCTTAAGTACCATTTAAAATATTATAGGTATATCATTTTCTTAATTTTCTTGTTATATACTGTTTCGAGTATTCTTTTTGATTTATGTAGGTATAGTGACATAGACAAAATGACTTGCCCTATTTTGCATAGAAGTCGAGCGTCTAGTAATAAATCAGTCGTCACTCGGTACAGAAATAGAACTTCTACGTCATAGATCAGTAAACATTACAACTCTTGTTATATATTAGTTTGAGTATTAATTCTGTTTTTTATGATATCAATAAAAATGAAAAAAGTTGGTTTTATTTTTAAAAAAATGAATTAAAAGTTTAATAATAAAAAATTAAATTTTTACAAAAATTCAAATATTAAAAAAATCTCGATGTTTCTATGAACAAACCCTTTAAGTTTTTAATGAGGGAGGAATGGGACGATTGGAAGCAGTAGGAAGCCTTTGCGACTGGACGAAAGAAGAAAAAAACTGATACTTAACCTAATGTGCATGAAGATATAGAATTCATGATGAAAGAAAAAAAAGTGATTAAGTAATTCAAGAAACCGGTCATCAGTAACGCCAGGGACGTGGCCGAGGATGACATCTTCTTCGATCATAATATTGGATTCAGTAATGAAATGTGTGATTCTTTTGCTACGTCTCTTATTGGACAGAGGAAAAGAAAGAGGCTTCCTTTGATGTGAATGTGGATGAAAAATTTGTATGGAGAAAAACAACGATATAGTGATTGTTAAATAAGAAATATGGTCACCGACGATGACATTCTCTTTGTTCATAATATTGGATCCAATGAGGAAATGCCTGATTTCTTTCCAAGTGTGCCATATAGGATATAAATGAACGGAATCGTCTGTTTATGCAAATAAGCAGAGTTGAGGGTAGTTAGCATTAAGTCTTAGCAGTGTGCATAGCGCTTGTCGAACTCTCAGCCATCGAGCAGAGAGGAACCCAGACGAGGCTATGCCGAAGGGCAGGGTCTTGTCTGGGGAGATAGACAAACCCGACCCCGTTTATACGGGGTCTATGGGAAATTTTTGGCTGAGCCTACGGTCTCGGAACGCTCGGCGTTAAAAAAGCTACCTTGTACCACATTCAGCCTAGTGGGGAGGACTTGGGTAAGCATCAGGTCAATTGCTAAGTGTACCTTTATGTAGTTAACGTTCTGTTTCATTACTTACCAATGATTTTGTCTTCTTTATATATTTCGAAAACACGAGATACAACAAAGTGATAGCGAAAAACATTAGGGTGACATTCTCTTTGATCATAATATTGCATCCAATGATGAAGTTTTTGACATCAGTGTTTCATATCTATCTATCTAGCTAGGTAGCTAGCTAGCTAGCTATCTGGATTAAATCCGACAATTATTTATATTATAAAATAATACCACTAATATTATCAATATATATATATATATATATATATATATATATATATATATATATATATATAAAAAATAATACATAATATATATATATATATATATATATATATATATTTATATTATAAAAATAATACATAATATATATATATATTTATATAAAAAAATAATATATAATATATATATATATTTATATTATAAAATAATATATATATATATATATATATATATATATATATATATATATATATATATATAAAAATAATACATAATATATATACTATCTCAGTGTTTCATATCTATCTATCTCTCGCTAGCTAGGTAGCTATCTAGCTAGCTATCTGGATTAAATCTGACAATTATTTATATTATAAAAATAATACATAATATATATATATATATATATATATATATATATATATATATATATATAAATTATAAATAATACATATATATATTTATATTTATAAAAAATAATACATAATATATATATATATATATATATATTTATATTATAAAATAATACATAATATATATATATATATATTTATATTATAAAAATAATACATATATATATATATATATATATATATAGATATATATATATTTATATTAGAAAATAATACATAATATATATATATTTATATTATAAAATAATACATAATATATATATATATATTTATATTATAAAAATAATACATAATATATATATATATATATATATATTTATATTATAAAAATAATACATAATATATATACTATCTCAGTTTTTCATATCTATCTATTTATCTATCATTCACTGCCATATAGGAGGACTAATATTAGTTGATTAGTCTTTTCTTTGTTTCTAACGAGATTTTTCCGTTTCTTAATACTTTGCTTAGCTTTTGAAAGGCAACTTTCGCTATCCTAATTTCGGTGCCGCAATTTCTTCACCCCCGTCCTTAAAACACTTCCTAGACATTTAAATTTTTGTACTTAAAATGACTGAAAACAAAACAATCCCTAAATCTGTTTTTGAAAGACTGTTTAAAACTTCTTTCTGAGTGTACTATCCCTTCCAATGATCGAAACAAATGAAAAGCTCTCAGCGCTAAGTCAGGTGAGTTTGGGGGGATGTTTTGCAAGGTGTGGTTTTTCATTTATGTCATAGGCGCATTAGGTACAACCACACCTCACTTAGCGATTGACCTGTTTAACGACCCGGACTCACGACACTCAAAACCTCATAAAATAAAAAGTAATAAAATAATCCACTCAGTCTTGCCTGTCTTGATAAAGTTCGAAAGTGTATACACAGCCTTGTGGGTGATGAATCAAAATAAATAAAATGAATAAATAAATTGAATAATGAACAAAAATATAATTTTACTGTATCTAAAATATCCAAACTAATGTAAAGAATACAGAGCTGATTTTCGAATTTGTTTATTACGTTTGTTGTTAAGTGTACTACTATTTTTTATTTTATAGTACGGTTCACTCTATACAAGGCCTGAGAGCCACTCGAGGTAGAGAGTTACGTTAATGGGTAGTTTATATGAATAGGATAGGAAGATAACGGTTAACTCTAGACTTGAACAGGTTAATCTTGCAGTGATCGAGGAAACATCCTTTTAGGAGTCTGTTCCACAGGGAAGTAGTTCAAAGGGAGAAGCTGTTCGAGTAGGACTTACTTATCCCCGATGAAATACAGAGGGAATGTGGTTGGTTTGCTACAACGCAAGTGGCATGCTGGAGTCTTAGCCGTGGAGGTTAGACCTGACGGAAACCGAGGAATGTTGCTCGTCCGAGCACTTTCCATTTTAGTAGCGACAGAGCAACGAGCATCCCGCCTATGAGAGAGAGAGGTTGGAGAGTGGAAAATAATTCTTCCGGAACTTGGAGACGCTTTTGAACTCTATCAAGACTGGAAAGTGAAGACTGGGCAGCTCCCGCTAAAATATGGCAACACTACTCCATTTTCGGCCTGATCTGACTGCATAAGCATTTACAAATAAATTAGATATGTTACAAATACTGCTAAAGTGACATTAAAGCTATCTGAAACCGGTTGACACAAACCCCTTACACACGCATCAGTCAGTTAATAATAGCCATACTTGATATACGCTTGAACGATCATGTCTGTCTCGATTCATGACTGACTAGGCAGTAGGTTGCCGTAACTTTCTGTGGTATATTGGTTGATCGTCAACCAAGGTCATAGGGCCCAGTCTGTTCTGCTATTCAACCCATAGCTGGGGAGGGGAGAGATAGGTTCATACCTTTACAAAGGGTATTTGCACGTAAGTGAATGTAACGCCCCAACTGGAATTCGAATAAAATGCCTGAAATAGTGGTTAGGTATAACTTCTCACCTAGCGACCAGATCTTTTAACGAACATATATCTAGTCGTTAATTGAGGATTTGTTGCATTTCGCAAATGTTTGATCAGCACCTAACTTAGGTTCGCTTCTGTTTTTGGCCACTTTTAAAGAGAGACTTGCTTGAAACTTACGAAATGACTGACAAACACAGAGTCTATTATTCTGCGGAATTACCATTCTGCTCGAACGAGGTACTCGCATTTCACAGATTTTATGGCATCTTAAGTGTTGCTTTTTCGTCTACATCCCCACGGTACGAGTTCCACCGGCAACAGCAGTCTCCGTGGCTCATTTGATAAAGATCCTGTTTCATGAATCTCTACCGACGGGAAATCATTTCTCGCTTGAATCTGAAGCACGCTTTTTTCGAGCACCATGCCCACTGCTGTCAGTCGCCTTCTTTGATGTAGTAACTTCAAATAAATAGTCACTGAACAGTAATAGCAAAAGAGGAGTGGCCGAGCTACTGGGTCGGATTCGAATTAAAAAAATGAGTTTCTTAAGCTTTGTCATTTATTATTCTTCTCTTTGGTTGGTTTATTTATGACTCGAGTGGTTATAAGGCTCACGAGGCATAGTCATAAACGACCTCTACAAACGAGAAGTTCTTGTGAAATGTCACTTTAAGATAATGATAATGACGATGTCGTCTGACATGCCTCAGACATTATGTTTATCAAAGATTTTTGGTCGCAGGGAGAAGGCAATTCATGCCTTTACCCATACCCCACTCCATGAGTATAAAGTAAATACTAGAAGGTTCAGCTAAAATTCGAACTCATTTTGCAGATTTACTTCCATATGTCGTATCTATAACAGTTGCGCTGAATATGAGCAGACCGTGACATTGTAATCAATCAGATAGATAGATAGAGAGAAAGATAGAGAGATATAAAAAGACTGGGAAAGAAAGAAAGAAAGAAAGAAAGAAATGGATAGATAGATAGATAGATAGATAGATAGAAAGATAGAAAGAAAGAAAAGAAAGAAAGAAAGAAAGAATAGATAGATAGAAATAGAAGATAGATATAGATAGATAGATAGATAGATAGATAGAAAACTGAGAAAGAAAAGAAAGAAACAAAGAAGTCTGAGATAGATAGATAGATAGATAGAAAACTGAGAAAGAAAGAAAGAAACAAAGAAGTCTGAGATAGATAGATAGATAGATAGATAGATAGATAGATAGATAGATAGATAGATAGAAAACTGAGAAAGAAAGAAAGAAACAAAGAAGTCTGAGATAGATAGATAGATAGATAGATAGATAGATAGAAAACTGAGAAAGAAAGAAAGAAACAAAGAAGTCTGAGATAGATAGATAGATAGATAGATAGATAGATAGATAGATAGATAGATAGATAGAAAACTCTGAGATAGATAGAAGATAGATAGATAGATAGATAAAAACTGAGAAGAAAAGAAAGAAACAAAGAAGTCTGAGATAGATAGATAGATAGATAGAGAGAGAGAGAGAGAGAGAGAAAACTGAAATATATAGAAAGAAAGAGAATGAGATAGACAGACAGACAGACAGACAGACAGATGTGTTCAAATTTCAACTGCGTAAGGATATGCATTTCCCTTATCTGTTCTTCCGTAGTAATGACTAAAATAGCAGAACAGACTAGGCTGTCTAGCCTTGGTTGGCAACTCTATCTCCTTCACAAACTGCTGTAGTATCACCTCATCTGGTGTTTTTTGCAATTATCTGTCACACAAAGAGTCTACAGCATAAAGAACACACACACACACATACAGAGATACATACATACATACATATACATACATAATATATATATATATATATATATATATATAGAGAGAGAGAGAGAGAGAGAGAGGGAGGGAGAGATCTGTGGGTGGATGTATGTAGGAGAGAGAGAGAGATTTTCTATATATGTCTTCTTACATTAGACATCCCCTCACAGACATATAAACCATAGATAATAAAATTATCTTGCTGATCGTTGTTATTTGTGTAAACGGTTTCGGTCCTCGCAAATGGCACCCATATTGTCGCTGGACTGCCATCTTTTTTTCTTCTTTTTTTATATTTCGATTTACAGGAGGAGATTCAACATATGTTAAAATTTTTAACCTACGTCCCTCTCTATCACACACACACGCGCCCGTACACACACACACGCACGCACACACACATACACACACACACACACACACACGCTATGTACTGGCGGACCCAGCAACTTGATATTCTTTTGTTTCAGAAAATACGTCATTTTCGTTGATTAATGTTGATATATATTCGTTATAAGATTATTTCTTATTTTTCAGCCGTTACTCATATTTATTCTCCTTCTGCTTCTACCAATGCCTGTGATCGATAAAAAAAAAAAAAAAAAAAAAAAAAAAAAACGCTTATTGAAGAGAACTGAAGAATAATTGATCTAGCAGTACCACTGTAAAATACAACTACTGCCGGGGCCGGCATTTTAGGCTGCGACTATTCAACCAAGCCATGCGTCAGCCTATCATGCCATGTAGTAAGGACCAATGAAAACGCGTCTTGCTCGGCCTACTCCCCGTTTCCCTCGGCTTTCTCAATGGCCTGTGTTCAGTGCGTTGCTTCGTGGGTGGGGAGCTGCGTTTGTGGATTGTGTGTGCTTCTCAGTTTATTGGGCTGTGTATGAGTTTAAAACGCCATTTGTGTAATAAAGCTGTATGTGACAACGAGAACTACACTGACTTAACACATAACTATCTATCCTATTACGTGCGTACTGATGGCGTGGTCTGACAATATCGTTTTTATATGTACGTCCTTCAGAAAAAAAAGACAGTGTAGATCAACACGCGTACGTGTTAAAATCCCGCCCAGCCTCTCAAAAAAATATATGTTAACATTGATAGCTTTTTGTGTGTGTGTGTGTGTGTGTGTGTGTGTGCGTGTCTGTGTGTGTGTGTGTCTGTGTCTGTGTGTCTGTGTGTGTGCACGCGCTCGTGCCCACACGCGCATGCGTGTCTTTGTGTCTCAGGCAGTAGATATTGTAAAAGTGTGACACACACACATACACACAGGTGAAAAAATGTTCGGATAAGCGTGTCTTAGCAACTCGTATGTGTAATTAACAAAAAAGAATATATGTATATATACATATTTGTATGCGTTGTTCTATTTTATATTTATATATATATATATATATATATATATATATATATAATGAATGCTGTTCAGTCGTAACATACTTTTGCGTCGTATGAACGACAAATAGTATGAGTGAAACCAAATTTTGATCTGAAAAACAAAACAAAAAAAGAAAAAAAAGAGAGAATTTGCTGAAATTTGTTAAATATTTATTTGTATAATAAATGTTGATTTCTTTTTTGATATGTTTCATAATTAGAACTGGATCTAAGTCTTATAGACACTGCCGTGGAGTATAACACTACAGTTTAAACACGACAGGCGTTGATACATTGATTTCTATACCAAATAGGTTATTACAGGGTGTAGTTATAGTGGCGCGGGGTTAAAATAAACAGTTGATTTATAAACACCAAGAATGAACGATGATAATGACGAAGAAACACACGGGTAATTTTAACAAAACAAGATAAGGAATTTATTTACGAATTTACACATTTCAAGTAGTGTCAGTAGCGCGTTTAAAAAATAAATGATAAATGTTTAAAGTCAGTAGTTTTAACGAATTGTCATGAAGAGGAAATGTTCATACAACAGATTAAATGATCCGACGCAAAACAATACCATAAAATATTTAAAACAAAAGAGAGTTCATTGCTCATCGAATGGATATACGGTTGCATACATTCAAAAGTAGACGAAGCTTTCTTGGATTGTTGAGAGAAAATTCTTTGAAGTGGCACGTGCATGGTTAGCAGTCGATAATATAATTGGCGAATAATTTTACACTGGCGAAAACTTCAAACTGGACGTGGTAAACAGAAAGGAAACCCTTCACGTGACTTCAAACACTCTTTTCTGATTAATTTAATTTTTTTCCTCATTTTATATCAAATGGAATTTCGCATAGGCTCGCTAGTTTCTTTACTTTTTTTCTTCCTGGTTCAACGGCTAATTTGTGTGAAGACAAAGTTTTAATTGGACCAAAACAATTTCACATAGGCTCACTAATTTATTTCCTCCTTCTTTTCAGCTCACTGGTCAATTTCTATGAAGGTAAGGTTTTCAATGGTTCGAAGAAAATTTCACATAGGCTTGCGAATTCCTTTGAATGGAGTGAATAAAGGGAGTTATTATTATTTTGCACTTACTACATAGTTACTAGCGTTGTCTGCCAGAAGCTAAGAAAGTATTAAGAAACAGGAATATCTCGTTGGAAACAAAGAAAAGTACAGAAATGTTATGTAATATTACTCCTCCTATATAGCAGTGAATGCTGGACAATCTCCTCACAGATTAAGAAGTGACTTGAAGCAATAGAAATGTGGTTCTACAGAAGGATGCTGAGAATACCATAGACCGAACATTTGAGCAATGACGAATTTTTAAAGAAAATGGAAATAAAACGGATACTTTAAAAGGATACTTAACATTAGCAAGAAACACTTGAAATCTCTAGGTTACATAATGAGGAAAGAGGGTTTGGAAAATATGATACTCACAGGAATTTTTTTTTTACTTTGAGGAACTTTATCAAGGGATGTCATTACCATCAGAGGATGAAGCATGTCGGCTAAGTATATTTTCCTCTTGTCTTTTTATTCACATATTTGTAGGTGAGCGAATATCTTTATCTCAAATTTTAGACCCCCACCCGCAACAGACTATGAATTTAGCTATGTAAATGATGCTTGTAGAGTCAACGTATCATCTGTGAAAAAAGGAGTACAGAATATTCATTTACAAGAAAATAATTTGTTAAAAATTTATTATAGTTTAAGGAGCCTTTGACTTTTGCCCGATTCTATATAATAACGTTTGAAATAATAAATGTCGGATCAAAGGTAAATCCATTAATTCTTTAGAAATTGCTTTGTTTACGTTTCGGTTACAAAACTGATCAGATATGAAGCTTTCGCGAAAATAATCTAAGTGAAGATGATGTACTTTCCCTAAAATGGGACAATAGAACCTTTCTTGCTGCAACGTCCTCCGTGGCCGAGCGGTAAATCACGCCGGATCAAACAGTGGATTTCCCCTACAAAGGGGAACCAGGTTCGAAACGCAACTGCTTTATTACGATTTCTCGAATGTGAAACGGCTGATAGATGTAACACACTGTTTAATTTACTTTGCGATGTCCATACATCACGGACCTCCTGGACTGACGCTACAGGATCACAAATAACTGGACCAAATAATAGAAACTACATCACTTGAGGACTTTCAATAGCAGCAACAGCTAAAATTAATACCACATGTAACACCAAGAGAAAAATGATAATCAATTCACCTGAAGCAATGCGATAATACCAATAAGGTGTAAGGGTCTGCTAGGAGTGAGTAAATGAAAAATATATTGAAAAGAAACAGGAAACACGATCCTAAACAGGAAACAATGGGTTAAACCTCTGCTCCTGTTCAAAAGATCGAGGAGGAGTATGAACCGGACGACTAATCAAAATACTGATCTTCTACAATTAGGGCCGTCTCAAGGTAGTGGCCGTCTCAAGGTAGTGGTTGTCCCAAGGTAGTAGCCTTCTCAAGGTAGTGGTTGTCTCAAGGTAGTGGCCGTCTCAAGTTAGTGGTTGTCTCAAAGGAATGGCCGTCTCAAGGACGTGGCAGTCTCAAGGTAGTGGTCGTCTCAAGGTAGTGGCCGTCTCAAGTTAGTGGTTGTCTCAAAGGAATGGCCGTCTCAAGGACGTGGCAGTCTCAAGGTAGTGGTCGTCTCAAGGTAGTGGTTGTCTCTAGTGGTTGTCTCAAGGTAGCAGCCGTCTCAAAGTAATGGCCGTCTCAAGGTAGTGGCTGTCTCAAGGTAGTGGCTGTCTCAAGGTAGTGGCTGTCCCAAGGTAGTAGCCTTATCAAAATAGTGGTTGTCTCAAGGTAGTGTGCATCTCAAGGTAGTGGCTTTCTCAAGGTAGTGGCCGTCTGAAGGTAGTGGTTGTCTCAAGGTAGTGGCCGTCTCAAAGTAATGGCTGTTTCAAGGTAGTGGTTGTGCCAAGATAGTGACGTTCTCTAAATAGTGGCCGTCTCAAGGTAGTGGCCGTCTCAATGTACTGGCCGTCGTAAGGTAGTGGTTGCCTCAAGTTAGTGGCCGTCTCAAAGTAATGGCCATCTCAAGGTGGTGGCTGACTCAAGGTAGTGGTTGTCTCTATTGGTTGTCTCAAATTAGTAACAGTTTCAATGTAGTGGTTGTCTCAAGGTAGTGGTTGTCTCAAGGTAGTGGTTGTGTGAAGGTAGTGGCGTTCTCTAGGTAGTGGCCGTCTCAAGGTAGTGGTTGTACCAAGGTAGCGACCGTCTCAAAGTAACGTATGGCCGTCTCAAAGTAATGGCCGTCTCAAAGTAGTGGTTGTCTCAAGGTAGTGGCCGTCTCAAGGTAGTGGTCGTCTCAAGGTAGTGGTCGTCTCAAGGTAGTGGTCGTTTCAAGGTAGTGGCCGACTCAAAGTAGTGGCCATCTCAAGGTAGTGGTTGTCTCAAGGTAGTGGCTGTCTCAAGGTAGTGGCCGTCTCAAAGTAATGGCCGTCTCAAAGTAGTGGCCTTCTCAAAGTAATGGGTGTCTCAAGGTATTGGTTGTCTCAAGGTAGTGGTTATCTCACGATAGTTGTCTCAAGGTAGTGGCCGTCTCAAGGTACTGACAACTCAGGCAGTCACCCGTGGCTCCATCAAGGCCGAGAGCGCCATCTTGCCGCCATGTCATGTGTTTTGTATCTTGCAGAATTAAAGCTTATAAAAACATACTTGCGATTGTCCATGACTCAAGGCACATTAAATTTTTTGGCTATTTTGTCAATAGAAAATGATCTGGTAAAGAA